CACACGCACACACACACACCCCCCACATCCACTTACCCTCCCATCACAGCACTGGACATTTCCCTGACAGTGGGCTGCTGGCCGCTGACGAGGCTCCCAGGCCCACACGGTGGCCTCTCAGATTCATTACAGGCCGCAGCACGCGAGCCTCTCTTCCTTCTCCACCTACCTGATGTTATTTTCACTTTCAGCCACTTTTTCAGGCACTCTTGGTGAACGAACTTCAGGCTGCCCACACAGCCGCAGGGCTCCAGGAGGGGGTTGGTTGGGGAACCCCCGGCCATCAGACAGATTCGACACAAGTCTCCCTCCTCCTCATCCGAGTCCTCCTCCAGGAGACTAAACAGAAAACAAGGCCTCGTGACCAGAGTCCCCACATTCGTTGTTTCTATAAATACCATTTCCCAACGTATTCATGGGAGGAGGGGGAAGGAACAATCCTCCCCATGCCTTGTCTGCCTGGGCTCCTGACCCTGTGGGGACTCTCCAGATGGAGTGACTGATCATTGATGCAGTCACCGTAGGTGTGAGCTCCGTGGGGGCGGGAGGGCAAATCAAGAAGTGAGTATCAAGATGTAACTCAGTGGTCAAGTGTTTGTCTGGCGTGCGGGAGGTCATGGTTTGAATTCCCATAAATCCAACGTGGTGGGGTGGGGTAAGGGATTAGGCCGAGGGAGCCCTTTTCTCTGCCCTAGTCACCCTGAGGAAGCTGTCTGTGTAAGCTGGTAAACTACAGGAGCCATAGTCAGAGCTCCTGGGTTCAAAACTGGCCTCGGAAGCTTTTGAGCTATGTTTAGAAACACAAACTAGAACTGAAAAAAAAAAGCCCATATCATTAATCTCTATGTCAAACTCTCCACCTCCCTAATGCTATGACCCTTTAATACAGTTCCTCATGTTGTGGTAAATCCCCAAACACAAAATTATTTCATTGCTACTTCATAACTGCCATTTTGCCACTGTTATGAATCTTAATATAAATATCTGATATGTGACCCCAAAGGGTTGTGACCCACAGGTTGAGAACTATTGCTCTATGCTGTATAAGCTAATAATATAGAAGTACTAGAAGAAAATAATTGTGTGGCAGCAAATGCAGGAGCTGGAGGGGACGATATCCCAAGGTTTGATTATATGTGCATGTATGTGTGTATGTGCCCACGTGTGTGTACATGTGTGCATGTGGGGGCCAGAGGTTGATGCTGGGTGTCCTCCTCTATTGCTCTCCCCAACCCCCAGATAGGGTCTCACTGTGTAGCTTGGCTGGCCTGGAACTTGCGACATAAACCAGCTGGGTCTTAAACTCACAGAGATTGGCCTGAGTCTACCTCCTGAGTGCTGGGATGAGATGTGTGTGCCACCATGCTATGCTGCCCCACCTTAATTTTCCAGCCAGGCTCTCTTACTGAACCTGGAGCTCACTAATTGGCAAGACCGGCTGGCCAGTGAGTCCCAAGGATTCTCCTGTCTTAGCCTGGATTTTTCCATGGATGCTGGGCACCCAACCTCAGACCCTCATAAGGCCACAGCGAGCACTGTACCAACTGAGCTGCCTCCCTGGCACCTGGAACTTTCCAGAAATGATGATATAGTGCACATTATGAACCTGAGGCGTGTGTGTTCCCTTTGATGAGCAGGTGTGTGTTTCTAGATGCTATTATAGGCAAAGCAAGTGAGGTTATGCTCCGAAAGGAGACTTCATCAAAAGGCAATAAACATTTAATATAGAACCAGTCATCCTTTAAAAATTGATACAATACTGCAAGATTTAAAACAGCATTAAAAATATAGGGTTTGAAAGGAGAGGAATGAAAATGTTAGTCCCAGTCAAAATTGTTTTCTACATAGAAAACCAAAACAATCTACAGACAAAGTACTGTACACAATAAGAGAGTTTAACAAAACACAGAGAAAATAAAAATTATAGTCAATTGCATTTCTATACATGAGACACAAAGAGTTAGAATTGAAAATATCATTTCAATAGCAAACAACAGCAAATGAAAGAACTAGAGATGAATCGAAGGGCTTTTGCAGAGAAAATGACGGCAGTGCATCAGGACAGAGGAGAGAGATGCCATGCAAACCAAGAGTCAGAGTTTCAGAGCTGTCAGCCTTGGCACATAGGGCCAGTGTAGTTCCAATGAAAGAGCCCCAGGCGGCAGCCCCTGAAGAGTGTAGTCAAGGACTCTCTGAAGAACCTGGGGAGGAGGGCTGTACCCTGACTGTCCTTTATCACAGCCGCCGAGTGCTGCAGACACCAGAGTGTGACCACACCAGGTCAGGGAAAGACAGACAAGACTAACAGCAGAGACCCCTTCACACAGATGGGTTCGCTCAGTATCTGGAGAGCACAGGATGCATGACCCAGGTGGCCGTGTGACCAGCAGGGACCATCTTTGCCAATCTACACCAGAAGGACAACTACTTACTGTTGGGGGGGAGGACCCCACAAATGCCCAGCATTTGGGAGGCAGAGGCAAGCAGATACCTTATGAGTTTGAGGTCAGCCTGATCTACAGAGTGAGTTCCAGGACAGCCAGGGCTGCATGGTCAGATGCTATCTCAAAATAAATAGATAAACAAATCTTCATTTACAAACATTTCCTAAATTAGACATCATTGAAAAGATAAATATTAAGATTTGTTATATACAGAAAAAGAGAGCACTGAAAAACAAAAGACCCCGTGGATGATAGCTGTTTAACGCAGAGGCCCATGCCTAGAAGCGCTTGCATTTTAAAAGAAACTAATTTGAATCCAAAGACATTATGTTAGGATGGTTGGAGTCCAGACATCTGACAAGTATAACTGAAGCCTCATTTCGGGGTTGGTGGAGATGGGTGGGTGTGAGGACTCCTGGTCTTGACCATGGACTGTCTTCTTGTAGCTTGTTTAACTATGAGAAGAGAAGACACCGACAACTAGGAAGCTCTCACGTAGCAGGCTAGGGGTGGAGCTGCCTGTGAACCTAGCAGGGGAATTGTGGTCAGCTAGACCAGCAGGAACGGGAGGGCTCTGAGTTAGTGAGATAATCACCTCAACAAGTAAAGGAGCGTGACTGAAGACATGGTCACTCACACACAGGCAGGCACACACGCACAGAGGCATGCATGCACACACATATGAAACAAAGAAAAGCAAGCTCTTTTTTCTGAAGAGGAGGGTATCCAGTCTGTTTTATTCCCCCCTTTTCTTTTAACTCATTGTGGTGAAAATTTCCTGCTTCCAAATGGACACCAATAGGGTAATTAATGGCCCGGAGGAGCCATACTAACGTGTACAAAGAAGGCTCATGATCTAAGAATCAATCTCCAGATCCTTAAGCCAAGATTTGGGCACAGTAAACACCTGTCATAAAAAGAGATGGCAGAATTCTGACCGTTTAATGAAGGCTTTAAAAAGTATCCAGTTTCATAGCTGTGAAATATCCCAAACTCACCTCAGGAGAAGGGGAAGATCAAAGAAAAGGGCGATTCAAAAAGGGATCTTGTTTTTCTCTCTCATGCATGAGAGAGAGGGAGAGAGAGAGAGAGAGAGAGAGAGAGAGAGAGAGAGAGAGAGAGAGAGAGAGCACACTTAAAATGGAGGCAGTGGTTGCTCCAGCCCCACCCTCTGGAGAACTGGGGTAACTATGGTAACTGTTTGGGAACGGTCTTTTGGCTTGGAAGGTTTAAATCCTAGAACTGTTGGTTGGATTTGCAGTGAGTCTCAAGAGGGAGAGCTGCGAACTTCAAGAGCTGGTGGTTCCTTCTCTGGGGAGTTAGCAACCTTTTCAGAAAAAAAAAAAGATCCTAGCTAATTGCTGGGGAGAAGAAGGGAGCCTGTGTTACCAGGTGTCCCTGTGTCCCTGGAAATCGGCATTTCTAGTTTTTCTCCTTATTTTTTCGTTTTAAAAAACATTTACTCTGTACGTGTGTGGGTTCATGCGTGTCTCTCTCTCTCTCTCTCTCTCTCTCTCTCTCTCTCTCTCTCTCTCTCTCTCTCTGTGTGTGTGTGTGTGTGTGTGTGTGTGTGTGTGTCTGACAACGGGAATAGGGAGGTCAGAGAATCGGTTCTCTCTTTCCACTGCGGGGGTCCTGGGGACGAACTCAGCTCCTAAGACTGTCTGTCACCTTTACCTACGAGGCCATGTGGCCAGACCTCGCTCTTTTTTTCCTTGGCTTTTCGAGACAGGGTTTCTTTGTGTAGCTTTGGAGCCTGTCCTGGAACTCCCTATGTAGACCAAGCTGGCTTTGAACTCACAGTGATCTGCCTGCCTCTGCCTCCAGAGTGCCGGGATCAAAGGCGTGCGCCACCACCGCCTGGCTTTGGGTGCCCTTCTTATAGCATTCAAGGAAAAAGACACTTTGGGGATATATGGATAAAACTGAGTGGGATTGACAAACTCCTCTTTGTACATACATATCTTTTAAGGGTAATGAAAGGGACGATTTTCTCAAAACGAGCAGTCTCATTAGCACGTCAAGGAAGAACATGCCTGTGGTTTAAAATTCCCACATTTCTCTACTGAAAGCAATGGTTATCTCAGCTCAGAGTTAGTAGGGGGAGGCGGAGAGTGGAAGAGGGAAGAAGTGTGTGGCTATTACAAGTCCTTACCTTTCTTGCAATTTCCTGAGTTTCTCGGGGTCTGCCTTTATTTCTGTGGTCCCCTTTTCATCCATGACATCAGAGACTCTAACGCTGGTCTCGTGATCATTTGGATTTGGAAAATCAGACAGTGCAAAGAAAGTAAAAGGTATGTTTTCTTGCAGGGACCCAGGCATATAGAAATGGCCTTGTAAATGTCTTCTTGTAGAAGAGCTGGGAGAATTTCCCAAGGTCACGCTGCTTTGAGGATTTGATAGATCTTCTGCCAATAGTGGAGGCCCCTGAGCTTGGCTTGTTGAAGCCATCTCCTCCGCTCCCTGGATGTCATCACTGTGGTTTTCAGCAGTGGCCAATGGATTCCTATTTCTGATTGGTGAGAGTGGCCGGCGCGCATTGAACCTCAGGCTTTCCTCCATATCTGAACTGGGGACTAGAATCGATGGCATGGACAAGCCTGTGGGGACATCATCTATCAGAGCAGGATGCAGCGGGGACCCATGAGTATTATAAGATGTATTCATGGATGATCTTGGAGCTGTGGATCTCCCAGAAAATAAGCTGTCGAACGAATTCCGAGAACCACTTAAGTAACTTTGCCAGTCTCTCTCATAATGGTAAACCGTGGGCCTGTCTCCCATAGGACAGTCACTGGATCCATCTTCAGCACTGTCTCGGATGACATCATTAGATTTTGCATCCCCTGGAAGAGCAGTCTTCTCCTCTTCTTGGTCTCCACTGGGGTCCTCTTTAGCCAGCTCCCCACATAGCCTGGTGTCTTGCGGCACCCTTTGCTCGCCAGAAGGCTGCTTGGCCGCTGGCTCTGTGGTACTGCTTTTTCTTGGAGATCCAGGATTGAACTCATTCCATCTTACAAAATTTCCTTGGAGATTTTCAGCATTTTCCTGAACATTTCTGTTTTCAGTGGTGGATGTCCCAAGAAATCGGCTTCTCTTATGGCTGGGAGGAGAACGCATCCCAACCAGCAGAAGTTCCTCTTCCATGCGGGTTTCCTCTTCAGTGTCATAGTTTTCTTGTTCATTGCTTAAGGACAAGGCGGAGTAAAAATCTTCATCGTGGTACCGAAACGGTGCCCTTCTTGGTCCTACCACGGTGGTGGGGAGGAGTGGGGCCCCCAGGGACTCACTCAGCACTTGAGAACCATTCATTGGCTGGAAGGTCTGTGAGAGGGCAGCGTGGGGTTCATTCTGGGGACGGACACTTGGGTCTCCCTTTTTCTGTCTCTCCAGGGGCTTCCCAGCTGTTCTCATGAGCTCTGCGGATGAGGCCAAGTTTCTCTCTCGAGCTGGCCTCTTCAGCTTGGTCTCGTTTGCACACATCAGACTTTTTTGTTGGACAATTGGATCTGTGTTGAGAAGAGACAAATTCTGTTAAAAGTAGCCACGGGAAAAAAGCCCCTCTCTGCCAAAGGCAGTAACAACAGATAAAGCCCTGGAGAGAGAAAATCTGTGCAACCCAAGGGCAGGAATGCCAGAAGCCTGCGAGGAAAACCGCACGGTGGATTTCTCTTACTGCCTCTGTGTTCTCCTTCCTGAGGCTCACCCCTGCAGCGCTCACACCTGTGAGTTCACATGGGTGTGGGTTCACACCTGTGGCACTCACACCTGTGAGTTCACATGTGAGTGGGTTCACATCTGTGGCGCTCACACCTGTGAGTTCGCATGTGTGTGGGTTCACATCTGTGGCGCTCACACCTGTGAGTTCACATGGGTGTGGGTTCACCCCTGCAGCGCTCACACCTGTGAGTTCACATGGGTGTGGGTTCACACCTGTGGCACTCACACCTGTGAGTTCGCATGTGAGTGGGTTTACATGTGTGGCACTCTGAATGTGGTTCAGGAGAAGGGGGTAACCATGAAGCCACAGATTCTTTCTACAGGATCCCAGTTAGACTGGTCCAGGTCCAGGCCAGCTCAGCACAGGGGAGCTAACCTTCTCTGTATTTGTTGAAAAGGAAAAATAGCAATGTGGGAGTGACTTACATAAAACCCACTGGTCCTTTCTCATCCAAGTTGATCCCACATGTATTTATGACATCCCTACTTCACACACAGCTTTTTAAATAAAAACTCAAGGAAAGTATAGTTTCATTTTGGTAAACAGGGAAGAAGGCTCTCAAAGCTAGTGTCTGAGTGATTAAGTTCACCATTTAGTGTAAATAAAAGTTATAAATCTCCCAAGAAATTATTATCTCTTCTTTGCCACTGGCCTCTATAACATCTGTCTGGCACAGAATCCCTGCTTCCTTATTCCAAGCTGTGAGGTGATGTCCGGCAAGTCAGTTTTTATCAGTGAGATAACTTATTCAAACTTAACTTTGTGGAGCTGAGAAGGTGGCTGGGTCTGTGGAGTACTTGCCTCACAAGCATGAGACCCGAGTTGGACCACAAGAACTCAAGTCAAATGGTTGGTGGTGGTGGCACACCGTAATCTCAGCACTGGGTGGGGAGGGACAGGACCGTCGGGAGGATCCCTGGGACTCACTGGCAAGCCAGCCTAGCCTAACCGGTGAGCTGCAGGCCGTTGAGAGACCCTGTGTCTCAAGGGAGTTGGGTGATGTTCCTGACAATGGCACCCTATGTTGTCCTCTGGCCTCCATACACACACACACACATACACACACACCCTCCTCTGTGTGCCCCTGTATACAGACAAACACACCCATTAAAAAACAAACCTCGCTTTGTACAAATAGTAAGCACTTTTTACCAAGTACGCTTCCTAGTCAAACCATACCAGCTAATCCACTCAGGGAAGCCTTGCAGTCCTATGAGCTAGATATTGCATTCACACCAAGTTCCAACAGAGGGTACCAAGGTGAGGGGAAGGTCACATGACTTGCCCAAAGTCATATTCCTATAAGTGCTGTAGGTAGTGAGCATTCGAGCCCAAGGGCTGCTAGGGCTTTGCGTTCCTTACCGCTACCCTGGGCAATTCCCTGAAAACCTTCCCCGGGTTTTGCAATTTCCTCACAAAAAAAATGAGGACCGATGGGATCTATCGGGAGGCACACATGTGGTTTTAGGGCTTTTCACCCCATGTGGGTAAAAAATTGAAAGTGCTTTTGTGATTCCACTTCTTCTTGCTCCCTACTGACACGGCTAACCCCCACCCCACCCCCGCCCCCCACTCCCCCGTGTCCGTCCCTGCTCTTCTGCAGACCTGATGAAGCTCTACCGTCCTTATCGTCCTTATCGCTTAGTTCGCCTGTTGAGTGGACAGGATGCCACCGGGGCCCCAGGTTCTTGATAGCAGCTCTGCTGGGGGAGATGCAAATCCGCTGCGCAGCCGGCTCAGCTGAGGCCGAGTGATGCTGCCTTTAATTGAGGTGCCTCGCAGGGGAGCCGCAGCCCGCCTCTCTAATGTCCTAATGCTCCCTAAGCTTCCTTTATTGTTAGCTGCGTGGGACACTCAGTGACGCGGTGCGAATCTTGACTCATCAGCCCTTCCAGAAATCAGTTAAACTGTCCTACTGGGCCCCTCGTGGGGTTTATAAACCCCAGCAAGAGATGTGTCAACAATTCAAGGATGCTTTGAGCCTTTGGCTATGTCTGGACAGAAATAGAGCTTGGATGCCCAATCTATTGGGCACTGGGCTGATCCATGTTTGGGGAACTAATGCCATCTAGATACAGCCAACTGAATCCTGGCTGGTGGGCGTGTGTGTGTGTGTGTGTGTGTGTGTGTGTGTGTGTGTGTGTGTATGGAGGCCAGAGGAAAAGTTAGGTGCTGTCTACACTTCTTTTTCTTAATTAATTAATTAATTAGAGGCAGAGTCTCCCATTTGGCCTGTAGTTCACCGAGGAGGCTGGGTGGTTATCGAGCTCCAGGGACCCGCCTGTCTCTACTTCCCCAGCCCTGGGATTAAAAGCCTGTGCCACCACACCTTACCCCCAACATGTGTTCTTGGGGTTGAACTCAGGTCACATAATTGCAAGTCAAAGACTTTCTAATGGACACCTCCACACCCTGTTTCTTAAGGAAGAAAAGAGATGCAAAGTCGAAGTGTAGCATCTTATCGATCATTTCACAGTTTGAATTTGAGAAGGACCCCCCCAAATTAGCCAACAGTGCTGCTGCTCCGAGCCGCCTCCTCCTCTCTCTGAACACACCCCTCTGTAAGAGGGCAAGGAGCTGCCCTGGAGCAAAGAGCCGATTTAGCTCAGCCTTCCCATGGGGGAGATGAGAGAGTCAGCTGGGCGGCTGGAATCTCACAGGAACCCTGAGATCATCTCACCGGAGCTGTCATGGTGGGACATGGGCCCCTGGGGCAGAAGTCTCAGCTCTGTGCCGTGTTGAAGGTCCTGAGGCTTCCTCAGACACTCCTCCTTGTCACCACAATCTCCTTCATCTTGGGAATTCAACCAGAGCTGCACGTAAGCATGTGTGTGCATGTGCATGTGTGTGTGTGCATGGGCATGAGTGTGTGTGTGTGAGTGCATGTGTGTGTTTTCCCTAAAGGTGCCAGTCTGTGCAATTCTGTATTTATGCTACTTGAACCCCTTTTGTGTGTATGTGTGCGTGCGTGCGTGCGTGCGTGCGTGCTTGTGTGTGTGTGTGTGTGTGTGTGAAAACTGGAGCAGACTTCAGTAGCTGTGGGCTGGGAATACTCAGTCGGTATGCCAGGGATGTGCTATTCATAGCCCCTGCCTGCCTCGTAGCTGCTGGGTGCTTCTCTGAGGCCCTGCTTTGGCTCCAGCTGTGGACTGAGTGCCTGCTGCCTCCAGGAGGTCTAGGCTCATTGAAGTGAGACTGGAAGAAGTGTTCGTCTGGCCCGGAACTATGCCTTTGGTCTTGAACTTTCTTGTGAGCCTCACCAGTGCTGCCCTGAATTCTAACAATGTATCTTCCGCCCCCCCCCCCCCCCCGCCACTTTGGTTAGAAATGTGATCCATAACTATTGGGGAAAACTCAGGAACTAGAGAAGATGAAATGGTCCAAGGATCCCATAACCAAAAGCCCAGCTGGACGTCACTCAGGTGCTGGCCTTCGGGCATGAGCTGCAAAGTCAAACGCCCAGGTTATCTTCACCCTGCAACAGCTCTGTGGCTGGGAGTTTGGATGCTGAGTAAAGTACGGGAGGTGGGAACGTGTGCTGTGGTTTACCACAGGCCTCAAAACTCATTTTCTAGTTCTCTTCCCATACCCACCAGCTTCCTGAAGACATGAACTTGTAACCCTTATCTGGGGGCATTGTAAAAAAAAAAACAAAGGCGGTTCATTGCTGTATATCAAGTGCACATTCTTTCTTTCCTTAAATATTTTCTTGTTAGTTTTCAAGAATACTATCATAATTACAGTAGGAATATGTCATGTCTTCAACTTTTTTTCTTGCTTTGTGTATATGCATATGCTGGGTGTGTGAGTGTATATTAGTATATATATATATATATATATATGCATATTTCTATCTATCTATCTATCTATCTATCTATCTATCTATCTATCTATCTATCTATTTTTCTCTCTATATATATATCTTTGTGTGTGTGTGTGCACCTGTGCATGAATGTGCATGTGTATGTAGAGGCCAGAAGTCTATATTGGGTGTCTTTTTCAATTGGCTCTCAACTTTATTTGTTAAAAACAGTGTCTGTGGTAGTTTGAATGAGAGAGGCCTCCGTAGGCTCGTGTATTTGAATGTTTGGTTCCCAGTTGGTGGACTGTTTAGGAAGGATTAGGAGGTGTGGCCTTGTTGGAGAGGTGTGTCACTGTGGGTGGCTGACTGCAGGCCCAGTCTCTTTCTGCTGAGTGCTTGTGGATCAGACGTATGTTCTCAGCTACTGCTCCAGAGCCATGCCTACCTGCCTGCTGCTATGCCCGCCACCGTGATGGCCATGCACTCACCCTCTGAAACTGTAAGCCAGCCCCTGCGTAAATGCTCTCTTTCATGCACTGAGCCTTCTCTTCAGCCCCTAACTGCTTTCTTTTATGAGTTGTCTTGGTCATGGTGTTTCAACACTGCAAAAGAATAGTAACTGGGATCTCATTGATTCGGCTAGACTAGGTGCCAGCAAGCTCCAGGGACCTGCCTGTCTCTGCTGTCCCCACCCCACCCCCTCCCTAGCGCTGAGATCACACACAGACGCCACTCCACCTAGAATTTTATGTGGGTTCTGAGGGATAGAACCCAGGTCATCATGAAACAAGCACTTTACCCCCCCCCATACACACGCACGCACGCACGCACGCACGCACGCACGTGCGCGCGCACACACACACACACACACTCACATCCACACGTACTCATACATTTTCTTTTCTCATTTTGAGGCCTTGTAGCACAGGTCACACTGGTGAACAGCCTTGCTCACTAATCTTGGACAACATGTCTTCTTTTTATTAGAATAGATTGATGAGAGTGGAATTGCCAGGCTGGGAGGGATGACCCTTCCAGAGGCTGACGACACATGTTGCCAAATTCCTTTGCAGACAGGTTGCACCACACTGCCCTGCAGATAGGACAGGAAGGCATCTCTGTCACACACAGCAGGGTCACCAGCCATCTGTGTCACCAGCATCTGGCACAACGGCGCCCAGGAAGGCTTAGTATTACTTCCCTGCCAGGATCAACGATTATTCTAGAACCTTAGCCAGTCTGGTAGGCTCAATTTAACTCCCAGGTGAATTTACATTTATTGAGGCTGCACTTAAAATGTGTTTATTAGCGGACTCATGGGAAATTGGGACTCATGGGAAATCGTCCATTATGCCCCTCCCCCTTTCCATTATGTGTTCACATGGGAGTTTTTTTTTGTTGTTGTTTTTGTTTTTTTTGTTTTTTTTCTTAAACTTGATTTCTCAGAGCTTCTGTGTATTGCCTTGGTCACACTTGTCCCAAACCTCTCCCCAGTGGTTCAAGTCACTGGCTCATATTCCATTTTATGTAAGAAAGTGAGAAAAGGAACTAAGGAGACAGTGTAATTGGGGTATAATATAACAGTGAGGAAGAGGAAGGCTCCACTATAATAGAAAGCTGGAACAAGTCCCCTGTGGACCCCCACATAAAGGAAGACACACCCTGGGTATGGCTGGAGCCTTAGATAAACTCTACGCTCCACGCGCAGAGGAGCTCACTGGCATGGACAATGGCCATCAGGGAGAGGGCAGGTAGAGCTAGTGACCGGGCCTACTGTGTGTCCGACACTTGTCTCTCTCATGTCACTTGTCATTGTGACAAGGCAGTAAGGAAGGCTTCTTCACCCGGATTTTAAGACGAGAGAGCTGGAGTCTGGAGGAGCTGTGTGACCACCGGACCCCACTGTGAGGAGGAGGAGGAGGAGGAAGAGGAGGAGGAGGAGGAGGAGGAGGGGGGAGCTAGAGTTTTAGACTGGCAGTCTGCTCTGAGGCTTCCGCCCTTCCCTCCTGGAGGCACTGTCCCTGGGCCCCTGAGGACATGTCGTCGTCATTCCAGGCTCGTCTGAACTCTGGCCGCCCTCAGCACCAAGCCGCCCCAGCACCCCGGTTCTTCTCTGAGTGTTCATCGCCATGTTTACACGCATCTCATTTAAATAGGAAGGCTGCTGTATTCGGTCAATAACAAGGCGTGATGCCCATGGCTTCTCTCACGGAAGGCTGGCACCGCTGCAGGAGAGGGTGGCAGGGTCAGCTGACTGCATGGTGTGGGCCTTTGATGCCAGCTCAGGCCTGAAACTCGGAGAGGAAGGCTCCACTGAGCTACTGCTCTGAAATGAAGCCGATTTTCATTCCGCAGCTATTTCTTACACATTAAAAGATCTTGCTGGTGTGGTTGCTCTGGATCACAAGTGAAAAGCTCCCCGAGGGAGGTGATCAGTCTGCCACCCATGGACACCAGTCCTCCTCTCCTGATGGATGCGTGGGTGCTATAACCAGGTGGCACCTCCCCAGGACTGCAGGCTGGGTCTGTGCCCCTCCCCCTCAGCCCCCAGTCCATGCAGAACCATGTAGTCATTCTCATGGCGTAATGGGAGAGAGAAAGAAAAGATCAACTCCGCCCATTCCTTTTCCCACCGGCCTCTCTTGGAGAAAATAAACCTGTTATTAAATAGTTTACTTTTTGAACCTTTCAAGGGTTTCATTTACAGGTAACTCCCCATCACATAAAGGCAAAGATGGCTAAAAGTCACAGTAATCCACAAGGCACTAGCACACGTCAGTCCTCCCCAAGGACCGAGGTGGCAGCCACCGTCCTTACCTACGCCCAGGGGCGCCGGGGCCTTTGCCGACAGCTGTAGTTTCTGCCTGCTTCTCTCCCCAGATGCTCTGGAGCTGTGCATTTCCGGACTGACTGTCAATCTCCCCAGGTTGGGCCTCCTCTTCCTTGATAAAATCTTTGGTGCCTGCGCCACTGAAAGGTGCAAAAGCTTTTCAATAACTACATATATATTTAATAGGAAAATAGTTTCTGTCTAAAAAACGTATCATCAAAGAAGGTAGAAGGTGGTGTACACGTGGGGGAGGGGAGAGGGAATTAAAAGCAGCGAGCCAAGAGGTCAGAGAGGAGAAGGGATTGAGATCTAGTTTGACCCCTTTGTAGCCATGAAAGCTTGGGCACACCTCTCCAAGCCTCAGTTTTTCTACCCATAATATGGGAATAGTATGACTACTTCATAAGCACCTTGATTCCTGCAGTGGGGGTGGGGGTGGGGTGGGGATGGGGGTGCAAGGGATTTTTCACCATAAAAAAAAAGACTTATGTGTATGAATGTGTGTCTTTGTGGCACCCATGGAGGCCAGAATAAGGTGTCAGGTGCCCTGGAACTGGTGTGATAGGTGTTTGTGAGCCATTTGATGTGGAGCTGGGAACAGAACTTGTGTCCTCTGGGAGACCAAGTGCTCTGAAAACAGCCATCTCTCTGGCTCCTCTCCCCTTTGACTGTGAAGTTGTATCTCCATATCTATAAGTGATGATGCTATTTAAAAAAGCGCTGTGTACCTGAGACAGGGGACACCATTCTATGCTCCCCCAGTACTCACCAGGGTGTGAATAATAACAGACTTTGTACCTGTGCATCTCTATCCACTGGTTGTACATTAGCATCAAACATGGCCTGTAAGAAGGTCCCAAGCACTTGGGAATGTCTACCTTTTTCCTTGTGCATGCCTACCCACCTCTGTGGAAGACACTGACCACTGTGACCAAGTTCCCAGTGAACACTTTCTCATAATTCTCAGAATATGGAATATAATTTTGGAACCAGGCTTCTAATTGGCATGAGTAGTGTTGAGTTTCTTCACATGTACTGGACATCAGTGCACATGGATGTGGGGAGAGTTTCTTATTTTCCAAGCATCTCTACAAGTTCTTGGGTACCCACGGCCATTAAATCAACATCTATGCAGTTAAACCAACATCCATTCTACACCCCCCAAGAGAATTGTCCTGGCTCGTCCTCTTTTTGAAAATTCAGACACTTCACAGCATAGGGGTGAGACTGGGACGAACCCCTGCTGGTGCGGAAGAGCCCAGGCTTTCTTGGCATGTGAAGAAAAGTGGATTTACGTTCCTGAGTATAGTCTGTGGTTGTGCGAATAGTTTCCACCAAGACTCAGGAAGGCATGAACGTCCTCCTTGGCATCCTGTAAAACCCAGTTTAATCCAGGGAATAGGCCAACTTATTTCTGACTGGCCCCAGGAGAAGGCGGCTGTGGGTTCTGGGTTTCAAGACAGAGGACCGTGCGCCTTGGGGAACTCATCGGAAGATGAGAGCTGATGGTGGCATCGGTCAGCTCAGGGCACACAGAGCGTCTGCCTGAAGCCAGAGGAGGAGAGATTGAGAAATGAGAAATTCTCTGGAAATGAGAATGTGTCCCTCGAAGAGTGTAGGGTGTGCCGAGACATGATTTCTCTAAGAGGGGAGTAGGGTAGGGATGGCAGGAGGGATCATCTGGTGCTTGTGGCGAGTTTCTTAGCACCCCGAGCTGTGTTGGTTGAAGCCAGAGGATCCTCAGTCACAGGAGGCCTCGTCCCTCTTCTCTGCCTTCAGAGACCACCTCCCAGCTAAGAGGCAGAAGTTGTATTTTTAAAAAAAAGTTTGTATTATCGCGTGTGTGTGTGTGTGTGTGTGTGTGTGTGTGTGTGTGTGTGTGATATGTGTATAGTGTGGAGACCAGAGGACAACTTCACGCCATTAGCGCCCTCCTCTCCTTCCGTCTTTACGTGGGTTCTGGGTATCGAACTCAAATTGTCGGGCTCCAATTCAAGCGTTTCACCCACTGAGCCGTGCATCTCGCCGGACCAGACGCTGGCGGTGTTCTTAGACACCGAGGGAGAGACAGAGCTGGAAGAAGGGGCCGCCCAGGGTCAGGTCAAGCCTGAGGACCTGGTCCAGAGGTCCTGGACAGATTTCATTCTGATGGTCATCAGAAGAATCAGCCCTCCGCTGCATCCCACGAGGTAGAATGTCCTACAGCCCCGACACCCACTCTGGTTCCGTCCACACTGATGTGGGGAGAGGGAGAGCCTTCCTTCCCCAGGGCCTCTCCACTGCAGCCAACACCAGCCCGAAGACCCCTCAGGGTCTGGTTTTATGTCCACTGCTTTGACTCCAAAGCCCTTACGTCCTGGTCTTTAATCATCTCTAATATTTCAATTCTGCAGCCTTCCTTATTTATTTTTTTCCTCTTTCAGTGGACTGTAAATTCCTTAAGGAAGCCAGTCTCTTAGCCATCCTGCGAGTTGCACACCACTGTCCGAGACTAATGATAATTGCCTAGAGTGATTGGCAAGGCTTAAGAAGATGACTCAGCCTAAACTGTGGGGAACTTTAAAACCAAAATTAATTTTTAAATTGGAACACTCATTTGATCTAAAAGTTACTTTTGATGTTCAGAAAGCTGCTTTCTTCATTCAAGGCATCAGGTCGCTTAAATGATTTCCCAAACTGTTACTATTTTTCCTCACATCCTCAGCAAACTAGCTGAACATCTGGGGCTGGAGAGACGGCTCAGTGGTTAAGGGTACTGGCTGCTCTCGCAGAGGACCCGGGTCTGACTCCCAGCCCATTCCCTGTCCCGGCCCCACCAAGGAACCTCACAACCATGTATAACTCCAGTTCCAGGGGATTGACTCCCTCTTCCAACCTTTGTGGATACTCCACATGGTGTGAGTAAACTCTCTCTCCTCTCTCTCTCTCTCTCTCTCTCTCTCTCTCTCTCTCTCTCTCTCTCTC